GGCCTGGGCGAGCGCTCCTCCTGCTCGGGGCCCGGGCGAGCGGCCCCGCCTGGGGCGGTGGGCCCCCGCGGTGCGGCGCGCTCTCTCTTGCGGGGGCGCCCCGTGGCCATGTCGGTGCAGGCCGGCTCGCGCGCCCCGATTCTTTGGCTCTATATGTCTCGCGCGCTAGCTAGCCCGCGGCGCTGGCGCGCGCACGGCGCGGCCGCGGGGCCCGCCCCGGGCGCGCGGCGGGGGGGGGGGCGCCGCGGCGCCGCGAGCGCTGCTGCAGCGCGGTGGCAGCGTCGCGCGCGGGATCGAGCGGCGGCGCGAGCTCGTCCGCGCGGTCTCGACGGAGCACGGGAGGCCGCGGAGCGCTTACTCGCGAAGCTGCAGGCGAAGCCGGGCGAGGTCGACCGCCCGCGATGAACAACCTCTTCGGCGACGCGTACGGCGGAGAGCGTCGCCCGCGCCCCCCCCCCCCCGCCCTCGCAGCGCCCCCTGCCGGGGTGCGCCCTGGCGCATGGGACATCCTGAGGCGCCATGTGGCTCTCCATTATGAAGACCCTGGCGCGACCTTGGCCGCCGCTGGCCAGGCGGAGTTCAGCCGCGCCCAGGGGCGCGCGGGGGTGCTCGAGGCGCAGCGCCACGCCGCGGCTGCTAAGGCGCAGGCGGATAACGAGTCGGTCTGCTGGAACCTGGACGCGGACGCGCCTGAAGTCTCACCCTCGGCTGGAGCATGGGGGCCTCTCTCGACTACACTCAGGAGTGACCCTAGGCTGGGGTGACGTTTGGCGCGCGGCTTCAGGGGCCCCCGTGGGGGCCCAACGCAATCGCGCAAGCCAGCGTCGCCGCGCCGCGTCAACGATCGGCGGGGCGCCACTCGGGAGATGTTTTGCGCCGGCGGGCAGACGCGGAATTCCGCCGACTGAGTTCGAGCGCCCCGAATGGCACTTCGAAGGCGGGGCAAAGGCAAGCGTTGCCGAGGGCCACCGCGATGAGGCCCGGCACTGCCGGGCTGCATCGCGATGGCGCATGACCTGGCCCAGCGCCACGGCCATAATATAGCCGGCCCCGTCCGAAAGCCTGGAATATGTTTGAATGTCGCCCCCAATATTGGTTCGAACAAAACATAGCCAAACATATTCAAACATATTCAAAGATATCCAACAATTACATAACAAAAACACATATTGAAACCGAGCGTTCTGGGATTTGCGCTGGGATTCGGGACTGGCCCTGAACCCGAAAAGCGCCGCCCGGTCGGCCAGCCCCCCTCGGGTAACCACTGCGAACTGCAAGGTGCGACGCGCGTGCGTCGCCGTCGATTGCAAGGGGCGGGCCCAGACCTGGCGCGCTCAGATGCGAGCGTGATCACGCGACGCAGGCGCCGTCGCGAGGCCAAGCTCATTCCGCGAGAAAATCGCGCGACCCCCTCTGGGCCAGCACCAAAGGTCACACTGGCGAAGGGTCACTTTTACGCGTAGTCGACTCTCGAATGCAAAACGGCCGCCTCGGCGGCTGCGCGGCGCGGGCCTCGCTGCCGGCGCGGGCCCGCCGCCCTTTCCTCGCGCGACTTCGCAAGGCGGGGCGGAGCGACTGGAGCGCGTCGACGCGCGGGGGGCGGCCGCCGAGGCCGACGGGCCCCCCCGGGGGGGCCGCTGCCCCGCCGGGCGCGCGCGGGGCGGAGGCCGCCCAGAGGGCCCCCGCTGGGGGCGTCTGCGCTGTCGAGGGCGCCACGGGCGCTGCTGCTGCGAGGGCAACGGGCGCTGGCGCGAGGGCGCGCGCGGGGAGGGGCTGCCCCATCGCTGGCGGCGGCCACGCCGCTGCCGCGGTCGCGGCCGCGGCCCGCGGTCGTGGCGGGGAACATCCCGCAGGCCGGCTCGGCGTCATCCGGCGCGAGCGCGCAGGGGGGGGGGCTGCGAGGGCGGAGGGCGCGGATTGCTTGCGCGGGGGGGCAATTCCGCGGCGTCGCGGCGGTCGGCCACGGCGCCGCGGCTACCGCGACATCTGGCACGGGGGCCGACCGCGAGCAGACGTGAAGTTCGACGTTTCGGACTTCTTCGTGACGAAGCAAGAAGGCGCGGCGCGGGGCCCCGTCGCCCTCGTTTTCCCGGGCCCGTGCGCGGTCGACAAAGCGTTCGTCCCGCTCGGCTGCGCGGCCGGAGGCGGGCGGGGGCGGGCGGGGCGCGCTCTTGATCGCATTGTGACTGGTCTCATCTTGTGTCATCTCTCTAGCGGGGGCGCGCCGCCGGGCCGCGAAGGGCAGCCCCCGCGCCTCTCCGCCCGCCGTCGCCGGCAGACCGCCGCCTTGGTTGACGCCGATCCTTTTGAATTGGGCCTCGCCGCGGCGACGCGCGACGGCCGCGCCGGCGTTCGCTCGTCGGCGTCGCGCGCCGAGCCTTCCTGGATTAAGCTGCAGCGCGCTCGTGCGAGTCTGAGCACTTCCTCGCCCCCCGTGCCGATCGAGCCTCCTCGCGAGGTAGCGCCCCTAATGGCCGCGGCGGAAAACTGGGCAGCGTGGGCGCTGGAGTCAAGTCGGCGCCGGATCAATGACTGGCCCTGGCCAGGGGCGCCCCGCGGCGATCGAGCCGAACGAACATGAGCGGAGGGAATTGCGAGAGAACCGCATATAACGCAAATGCAAGGACCACGCAGGCTCGACAGAACGGACGACGCGAACGGGGGCGGGAAGTCGCGGGGAAGGGCCGCCAGCGCGCACGATCGCCCGCGTCGCTGCGAAAGGGGAAGGGGATGTCATAACTGATCGACCCACCGAACGCAAAAGTGATAAGCGGCTGCTCGCGGCGAAACGTCTGCGTCGCAGACCCAAGAGCACTGAAGAAAACGTGCCTCGCTCGAGCCAAATCTGCAGGACCCTTGCGTCCAAGCGCCTGAAGACAGGCGCGGGCAAGCGCGGGGCCAGGCCCCGAAGTGCCACTCGGACGGCTTCGCGCGCCTGCGACTGCAGGGGGGCGGTCGCCGCTCGGCAAGTGACGCGCAAGCCGCGGGGGCGCGATCTGCATCCCTTTCTCTCAATGCCGCGCCGTCAGACACGAGAAGCCTGGTTGCGGATGTGGTCGTTGGCAACCCGGGCGCGGCGTCGCCGTCACTTGGGACATGATTCTCACGTCGACGTACTCGTGCATGCCCGGATGCGGCAACCTGACCACATGTGCGCTGCCCCTCCACATGGCCCGCGCGATGCTCATGGGGGTGGCGGCTACATAAGGTCAGGAACGAGCCGAGTTCGCAGTCAGTACGCAGTGAGTCACCCACGATAACATGGTGGACATCGTCCACGAACGCTGAGCTCAACAGGCAAATGTGGTGCAGAACACAGCCGCGGCCTCGACGGTCCCAGCGAGCGCGCGTTCTGCATTCGGATTTGGGGTCTTGCCGACGAAGCTCCGAACGGCATTCCCTCGGGCAGCGTTTGCACCGATGACGTGGGCGTTGCAAATTCTTCACCCCGCGAGGCGAATGTGGTCGCACTCAGCGCACGGCGAAACACGGATACTGGGCGACACGACAGGCGTCTTTCGAAGAAGGAAAAAAAGAGAAAATACATAGAAGTGCCTCCAAACCCTCCCGGTACTTCGCCTCCGGGTTCCTGTTCCAGGCGTTCCTTTGCATGATGCACTTCGCTTTCGGCATCGTCTGATCCCGGGGCTTTGCCCTCTCTTGGCCTTTACGTGAGGCCCCTCCTTCTTTTTTCCTTCCTCTGTTAATTAAGGCTGTGCGCGGCCCGCTTAGCTTCGACCGGAAGATGCTCGCTCTCGACCCGCGGATCAGAAAAAGATGCATGCCCCCCCCCCCCCCCCGTGAGAAGGCAGACAAAGAGGAAGAAAGGAGAGCGGGGAAAGAGGGGGGCAGCAACGGCAGGGAGCAGGCAAAGACGCAGGCCACGGGCGGGAAGCGGAGGCGGCGTGGTTGTCGGGGCAGGGTCGGCCAAATAGGCGCCGACTGGGCTGCAGCGGCGACAAGAGCGGCCGCGCCCGGAACAGCGCGGCAGCTGGTGGCGGGCGCTGCCTGGGACACCGACGGCGGCGATGACCCTTGGAAGGGGGGTTGCCGCGCCGTCGCTTGGAAAGCAAGGGTCCTTTCATATACTGCTACCCGCCCGACCAGAGACTGCCCACCTCGCCCGTTGGCAGGGAGTTCCGCTCGCCGTCCTCAGGGGGCGGGAATGGGGTGGGGGCACAAGACGGCGCCAGCGGCGGCTCGCTTGGCGTCAGCCGCGACCGCCGCCGTGGCCGCTGCAAAACGCGTGGCGACTGCCCCGGTCGACGGCTACAGCCGCGCAGCATCGCCCGCGCGTTTTCCTGGCGAAGGGAGGCTGAGTCGCTTGCCGCTAGGAGACTGTGGAATTATGGGTGAAGTGTTCTGCGCAGCACCGTGGCGCAACGCGCGCGCACGCTTTGTATGGGGACGGGCTAACCAGGGCCAGCCCTGAACCACTCCGCGAAGAAAGGAAGGGCGCTAGGCTCCACATGGGTCCCCGGTCAATGGAAAGTGGCTAATCCCCGTTAGGGATGACCCCAATTACCTGCGCCCCGACCTCAGAACGAAGACTGTGTTTCTAGCGCCAAAGCGCCGGGCCCGACTGGGGGCGTCCCGTTCGCGAACACCAGGCGTCTCGTGTTGTGCTGGTGCTCCTGCGTCGCACGCAGGTGCGTCCCGAGAGGCGAGGGCACCGTAACAGCACGTCGCTGCTGCAGTAGACGCGGCCCCTGGTGCACTTTGCTGGAAGCCGCCTCCCATGCGAAGACGGCTTTGTACCAGAAACGACTTTACCATTTCAAGGCGCGAGGGCGACTGTGGAGGCCAGTTTATGAGACCTTTCACAAGAAACCCAACCCTGAGACACCAGGTTCATGAATGTTTGGTGTAGGAACGTCACGCTTTCCATGGCAAAAGCAGCAAGCAGGGTGTTTCTTGGCATGGGCCCTCACTGTAGGGTCACAGAGAAGCAGATGTGGAGAGGATGGGGTCGATGCTGAGAGTTGCGCGGGCACCGGAGCCTGGGAGGTAGGCCATGACGCAGTACAAGTCGGTTCCCAACTCCTCGCCGTCCTGTGCCTCAAAGACCACGCAACGCCCACCCACCCCCTCCAAACAAACCCGCACCCCATTCCAAACTCTTAGAGGGGACGAAAGGCGCCCAAACCCGCTACACTCAAGGGGATTGGCCAAACGAACGACAACGAGGCAAACATACCTCTCGCGTCGGCAGCCTCCGGTCAGAGATCCCGACCAAGGAAACAGCGGCTTTCCATTCGCATGACTTCCCTTCTCTCGCAAAGAAGGTGGGGCAGGAACACGGGGGAGCGTGGGGGATGAGGCAGGCGGCGAGGAGGGAGGAGGGGACGGGCAGGGAGAGGCCGCAGAGTTCACCAGCGATGCCTTCGGAAACTCGTACTCGAGCTGCCCGCCCCCGATAAACTTCGGGTCCGCCGGCCAGCCCTGGCGGAGCGGAGAGATCTACGCACCACGGTTCCCACTGCCCCCAGTGGTGGACACGCTTCGCGACTTGTAGATCCGCGTCCCGGCCTTCGACAATCACACAACAGGAGCACTTCCCTCCTCTCTCCCCTGCCCCTGTCGGGAAGATCCCCGACCCCACTCCGCGTATTGTTCTCTTACACGCAGGATTGGGCCGAGTTGGTTTGAATATATATATATATATATATGTATATGTATGTTTTCGTATGTGTTTTGCAAACTGCTGATTCATGTGTATTGTTTCTGTTTGTTTCAGGTGTTTCAGAACTGCTTTCCCGCTGCAGCGTGGGCATCATGTTCGTATCGGCGCTTCGCTCTCGTTGACGCTCTCGCCCCAGCGTGGGCCACGTTTCTGGATCCGAGTACTTATTCATCTTGATCGCCCCCCAATTTCCCCCCATCCGCCTTCCCCTGGGCCTCCTGCTCCTCCCGCTCCTTCCACTCCAGTTCCCGCTGTTGCTACTCGTCCTTGTCTTCCTCCTCCTCCTCCTCCTCCTCCTCCTCTTCCTTCCTCGTCCTCACTCTGTTCCTCCTGCTCAGCTCCTCCGACTTTCCCTGGTCCTCCTGCTCCTTCTCCTCATTCCACTCCAACTCCTGTTGCTGCTGGTTGTCCTCGTCCTCCTCTTTCTCCTCCTCCTTCCTCATCTTCTTCCTTTCCCTCCTGCTCATCCTCCTGCTCACCCGCCACCTCCTCCTATCTACGTGGCTCCCCTTTTCCGATTCCGCAGAACACGATGGGGTCATTTTTGGAATTCCAGGTCGGCTATGACACGCGTGCGCAGATACAGAGAAATCAGCGCAATGGGAAGGGATGGGAGGGAGGGGTTGAATGTCAGATATGGCGCGAGCGCACCCAGCTCGGCTCAGGCTCCCTCCCTCCACCTATCCTCCCCCCCGGTCCCTCCTCTTCTCCCCTGCCAGATGAGGTGCGCAGACGTCGAGATGCTCGTATGAACGAGTCCACGCAGCCCACGCATCTCCCCTTCCCCTCGAGGAGGTGCAGTGCGTAGGTTCCTGACGCCGACCTCGGGCAGGTCCATCTGGACCTTCGTCAACTCGCCCTTCTGGATCACCTTCCCTTCCCGCCTCCCCTCCTCTCCCCATCTCTCCCCCCTGCTTCTCCATCCTGCCCTTCCACCCTGCGAGATTCCTGTCCCGAAACCGCGGCTACGGTGGGCCCATTCCCGAATCCGTGCCCTGGCCCGCATCGCAGACGCGCCTCGGTTCCGCCGTCGCCACTGGAGTCATAGTGGCGCGTGCTGCTCTGCTCGGGACTTGTTTCCCTGGACTTTGCAGCGGCCACCGCCCTCCTCCTGCTCCTCCCTCCATGCGAACCATGGTGAAGGTCTGGACGCACCCGGTGAAATACTCGTCCTTCACCTCAAGGAGAGGGCGCAGACACCGCCCCAGCCCCCATCCCCAGCGGTGACCAGGGGGAGGAGGGAAGGAGTAGAGGGAATATGTTTGGAGAGAGAACGGCTGAAGGGGGGAGGGGAGAGGGGATGGGAAGGAGGGGGAGGGGAGGCAGGTAAGGGTAGACAAAGCAACCAAACAATCCGGCTGGGGGGTTAAACACTTTACGTTATTTCGGTTTTGTGGCCCTCCGGCCACCATGCATTCGAAGCCTACATTGCAGCACATGCCGGTCTGAGAACAGTCCAAGCCCGCCCAACTGCAATGCGGGTCAGTCTTGGTGCGATTCCCCAATTCCGTACAGTCCCAGCCGTCCTCAGAGCAGGACTTTGAACACGTTGCGTAATACTCGTCCTTCTGATGAGGGGTCCCGAATAACAGTCTGAGAGATACACCCACATGAAAATCTGATGCGCCCTGTACATGCAACGACGCGCATACGCAACACACCTCAGGACGGAGTGCACTGCATGCTTCATCACTGCATACGCTGAAACATACCGTTTTCGTGTTCTACACGTTGGCCCGTCGTCAATTTCGGGAGCGGCCAAGAGGGGGGTGTCCAAGAGGAGGGGGTGCAAATCATGACCGGCGGCATGTGCGCGGCCCAGCGGGGGGGCCAGGGACGTAATGAAATAAGAAGAGGCGCCATGAAATCTGTCGAAATATCATGGCCCACGCCATGATATCCACCCCCCCCTAGTCGTCACCCCCCTCTTTTCCGCCCCCGACAATTCAAACCCTTCTGGTCCTGCTTAAAGCAAGTCATGCCACCACCGCCTCGAGCACCACTGCAACACTTTGTCTCCGTGCAATCTTCCCCAGGAGCAGAGCACTCGTCCTCTTCACAGAATCCCCCGGGGCGCCAAATGCACTGGGTGCCGGTCCCGCACCCGCCCTTGTCAGAGTAGGTCCAGCAACCGGCAACACATTGGTCACCCCTCTGCACACACCGGTCTCTGTTTTCCTCGGAGGTGCAATTCTTACTCTTCCCATACACCCAACAGCTGTCTTTGCAAGTGTCGCCATGCCACATGCACTCATCGCGGCCGTTGCATGTGTTCTGGTCGGAGAAGTCCGCACACGGCAACTTGCACTTGTTAGCCTTCCATTCGCACCGGTCTTTGGGGCACGTCTTCTCCTCGAACACATGACAACCAGGCTCGGACCGCTTCCCGACCTTCTCGCAAGTCCACTCTGGCTTGTACGTGTTCCCAGACTTGTCGTAAAGCACGGTGTCGTCCTCCTCCGCGAGGGCTTCGGCACCGGGAGAACCAAGGCAGAGGCCCAGCCAAGGATGAGGCAATACGTGGGGGAGACTGGCTCCTGGCTTTCTGGCAGAACACATGAGGCACAAGATATCTGCTTAACTTTCGGCGATGGCCTGGATTGTCCGCTGTGGGGGTGGGCGAGGTGCTGGCCGATGACCTAACCTTTTCGCTTCGGGCAGCCCCGCGTAGCACTAGTACTGCGTACCCTCTTCGGCGCTGCGCAACTGACAAGGTCGACTTCTCTGGAGGGGGCGAGGGAGGGGAGGCGGGCGGGCTCGATAACCCAGATTATCGCTGGACGTGAGCGTTGTCTTGTTCGGCGTTTCGACATTGGGCCGAAGGTGGGATGGGAGGGGGGGGGTTGGCTCTGGACCTCTGCTTAGTGCGACTGTTTGCAACAGTGTGTCCTGTGGGGGAGGGGCTCCACCTGCTCGAAACAAGCGCCAAAAACAGCCAAGATCTACTCCATGGGGGGGGGGTGCGAGGACCCGCGCCGATCGGCACAACAATGAATCAAAAACGATCACGACTCTTAAAGCACAGTCTCTAGTGTCCCGCCGCTCGGGGGTTCCGCCTCGGGAAAGGCTGACAAATTCGTGCCCAAGTGCACCAACTTTCCAACCAACCTGGGACCGACGCCCCCGCCACGAATGACCCGCCACCGCTCCGCTATCCGTGAAATGGCGTATACGGCAGGTTCGGATAATGTCGACCCCGGCGTTGATTCCTGACACCGCGGGGATCGTTCAACCTTGAACGATCGGCCGTTTCCGAAACGTCAGAATCGTTCAACAGCGATCGACTCTGGGTCGCGGGCGGTGTTCAACCTTGCACGCAAGCGACGTGGTCGCCACTGGTCGACACGACACGGACCTACTGTAGGCACGTCCCTTCGAATTCTTCGCAATGAATGCTGTGAGTACTACTTCACAGCCTCAGGCCGAGAATTTTCTGAATTCTGGGCGCTTCCAGGTGCCCCCAGGGACCTCCGTGAGACTGTTTCAAGAGCCGCAGGCAGCATGCTTGGGATTCCACACTGCCAAGGCTGCCTAACATTGTCCCAGGGGTTCGTGCTGGAGCCCTCTTGGGGGCCTCTTGGGCCGCCTTGGAGGCCTTGGGGGTCGGCCCCGAGAACCCAAAGCACCAAAGGTTGCCATATGATGTTGGCAGTCTCGTTCCCTTTGACAGGGCGCCCAACACAGCCCAAGATGCCCCCCCCATATCGCCTCGGGACGGCCCCCGAGGCTCCCAAGATGCACCCACGACAACCCCACTATGGGCCTGGTGCCAGACGTTCGAGTTCTCCTTGGCCGTTCCAAAAGCTTCCCCGAGGCTCCCAAGATGCACCCATGACAGCCCCACTATGGGCCTGGTGCCAGACGTTCGAGCTCTTCTTGGCCGTTCCAAAAAGTTTCCCAGCGGAGACTCGGGGGTATCCTGCTGGCCACTCCAAAAAAAACGCTAGATGAAGAGAGCTCGCCCCCGAGATTGCCAAGACTGCCTGCAAGTTGGGCCAGGACGGTCCAAGATGGTACCCAAGACAGTACGCGAGGCCTCCGAACTCGTCCAAGAGGCACGCACGACGGCCAAATGTGGCCACAAGACTGCCCAAGACAGGCCAATCGGCTTCTAAGATCTGAGATACCATCCAGAATGACCGCAAGGGGCCAAGATCATTGATTCCCGCATGCTGCTTCATGATTGTCGCGTTCTTGCTGTTTCGGGCATCCAACAACCGAAGACGGCACCAAGGGCCACCAGTATAGCCCCAAGACAACGCAAGACGCCCTCAAGAGAGCCCCAACATGGGCTAAGACGACCCCAAGTCGCCACCAAAACGGCTCCAGAGATTTTCAAGACGGCCCTATATCGCCCCAACAAGCCACCAAACACCAAGCCTGCCCCGAGAGGCTCACGAGTTAGCTTCCGAAGGCGTCCGACGGGCGTGGAGACCCTCGCGATGGCCCCTAAGAGGCCCCAAAAGAGGCCCTCAGAGGGCCCAAGAGGCCCCTCAGAGGCCCCCAAGAGACCCTCAACAAGCCCACAGGAGGCCCCACCCTCCTCCTCTTCCTGGTCTTCCTTCTCTTCCCTGTTCTCCTCCTCGTCTGTGTTCCTCCCTCAAGGGTTCCTCCCACTGCTGGGGGCACACATACTCCAATATCTTGGCCAGGCTTTGGCCCAACGCTTGGCCACATAAGAGCTTCCAGAAGGCTAGGGGCGGCGGTGGTTCGCCGTTAGCGTCTCCGACCATCATCTCAAGATGCCCGCAGAACCCCGATCCTCGTGCACACCCTCAGCGCAAGACTCGGCGCACACGGAGAGATCCCCGTCGCGCTGGAAGCACTGGAAGCCGTGGTCGCCGCCGTCGAGGCAACACTGGGACCGCGTGCAATCGCCACCCTTCCACACGCACGGCTCTTTCGGCGCGCTGTTCGTGGCCACCGTCACACTGTCCGCGGCCACCTTCGGCCTGACTTGGGCCGTCTTCGAGTTCTTGGCGTGTCTCGACTTGGTCTCTACCTCCGAACATGTTCACACGCGCGCATGAAACAAAAACATCAACAACCAATTCACATGCGTCCTCCCAACCAAAATCACATTTAACTATAAGTATCGCGCGAGCTCAAACTCCTCCGGTCTCGGGGCCCCATGTATAGAACTGAAACGGGATGATGTCCGAGAATGCGGAAACCACAGATCTCGTCACCAGTGCCTTGATGGCCCAAAGCGCGGTGAACGGCTCGGGTTTGGGTGAGGGGAATACGGAAGACTAGAAGTAGATCGGAGGTGAGGGGGTGAGATCGAAGTGGAACGGAGAGCCCCCCTACCGGGAAATCGGTTTCGGTTTCGTGTTCTTGCGTGCCGTGCCTGCGGGCGAGGCGAAGCTGCGTGGGCGGGCGAGAAGAAAGTCTCCTCTGGCTGAAGCGCGGCTGGACCAAATGATTCCTCTCCAGGGGCCGGTGCCGCGCGGTGTCCCGCCGGTGTCCCGCCTCCGGATGAGGCGCGGCCGGACCAAATGTTTCCTTTCCGGGGGCCAGTGCCGCGCGGTGTCGCGCCAGTGTCCCGCCGGTGTCCCGTCGGTGTCCCGATGATGATGATGATGATGATGATGATGATGATGATGATGATGATGATGATGATGTTGATGCTGTTGACGATGCTGATGATGATGTGATGATGATGATGGTGATGGCGGTGATGATGATGGTGTCCCAATGATGATGATTATGATGATGATGTTGACGATGTTGTTGATGATGATGATGGTGATGATGGCCATGGTGATGATGATGGTGTCCCGATGATGATGATGATGATGTCGATGATGCTGATGTTGCTGATGATGGTGTCCCGATGATGATGATGATGATGATGATGATGATGACCCTGATGATGTTGATGATGAGGTGATGAGATGGTGATGCTGATGATGATTAAGATGATGATGGTGTCCCGATGATGATGGTGATGATGAGGTTGATGATGATGATGCTGTTGATGATGATGATGGTGATGATGATGGTGTCCCGATGATGATGTTGATGATGATGATGACGATGCTGGTGTCCCAGTGATGATGATGTTGATGATGAGGATGATGATGAGGTGATGATGATGATTTTGATGACGGTGGCCGGATGATGATGATGATGTTGATGCTGATGTTGCTGATGATGATGGTGTCCCGATGATGACGGTGGTGATGGTGATGACGGTGACGATGATGATGGTGTCCTGATGATGATGATGTTGATGATGATGTTGCTGAAGATGATGATGCTGATGATGGTGCCCCGGTGATGATGATGTTGATGTTGTTCATGATGATGATGATGATATGATGATGCTGATGATGATGGTGTTCCGATGCTGATGACGATGGTTTCCCGATGATGATTTGACGATGATTTGATGATGATGGTAACGATGATGGTGTCCCGATGGTGCTGATGGTGATGATGATGATGTTGATGATGATGTTGATGAGATGATGATGATGGTGTCCCGATGATGATGATCATGTTGATGACGTTGATGACGATTATGTTGACGATGTTGACTGTGATATAGATTGTGATACCGATAGTGAGATCAAAAGTGAGACATAATGTGAGATCGATTGTGAGATCGATAGTGAGATCGATAGTGAGATCGACTGTGAGATAGATAGTCAGATCGATTGTAAGATCGATCGAATGAAATAGATCGAGTGAGATCGATTGCGAGATCGATCGAGTGAGATCGATCGAGCGAGACCGATAGTGAGATCTATAGTGAGACCGATCGAGTGAGACGTTGATTCCTCCCCCCCTCCCGAACCTTCTTATCACCCGAAGGGTGGTCGCATAGGTATACGTGTAAATGTGATGCAGGCTAGTGGAAGCTACGTGACGCATTGTGACGGAGGCCGCGTGGTACACATTATTCGGTGCAAGCCATGCAGTGAAAGCTAGGTGGTGAACGCTACATGGTGCAGTGTCCTGCGTGGTGCATCTCTGTGATGCAGGCTGTGCACGTCGTGCGGTGCAAACTGTGTGGCGGTACCCGTGCGGCGCACCCGGCACACGAAGCGGAGCCGAGTGGGAGGCCTCGGGCGCACTCTGGGCGGAAACCCGAAGTTAGACCTAATCGCTTCAGGGGCTCAACAAAAGGGCCGCTTCGAAGACAACACCGCTTGGGAAAGCATGGAAAAACACGCCATTTCCCCCTTGCTTCCGCGCTCTCCACCAGCCGTCGGCAGGGTTGCGGAGTGGGCAGTGGATGATGGGGCGGGGAAAGGGAGGGTAGAAGGGAACAGGGAGGAGGGACAACGGGCGACTGAGAAGGATGATAGTGAGGATTGCAATATCCATTGCGATGTTGGCTCAAACCGTCCTGAATAGACCCCCTGGGTCATGGCGCACAGAATCGTAGAACGCATAATTGATGCTCCAATTATTGGTTCAAAGACTTCGGGGAACTTCGGCGGATTCTTCCTCTTCCGTCAATCCTGATTCCTGTCCTCATTCCATCGCTCGCTTTCTCCTGCAGCGTCATCCTGCTCCATCGGTGGATGGATGGAAGGGAACGGGAAGACGAATAGCCAGTTTGCCTGGCGCTGTGACGGGGTGGGCCGAACAGTCACGGAGTAAACAAACGCAATCACTAAGGGTGCTTCACAAGGATGGCTCGAGCTGCGCCCCTTGCGGGACGCCCCGCGTGGAGGGGCAAAGCAAAGCTGAACGCAAGAGCTATACTTGGCGGCGCACAGAAAGGGGGTAGGAGGGTAGGGGGAAAGTCTTCTTTGAAAGAGGTTGCTTCTTAGAAGGCGCGGCCCTTGTCTACAGATGTAGGGCCAGCGCCTTCTAAGGAGCAGTCTCCTTCTAAGAAGCCTTCCCCCCTCACCCTACCCCCTCTGCGCGTGGCCGGTATACATCTGCAAAAAATCCGGAGAGCCTGCAACCTCGCCGCGGCGACGTCGGCCGCCTCCCGGCCCGCCCCGCTGCCGCCGCGCCACACGGCCGCCGCGGCCACCAGCGCGAGCGCAACAGCAGCCGCCGCCGCGCCGGCCGCGCGCCGGCGATTGCCGGCGAGCCGTCGGGGAGCGGCGGGGCTATCCTGTGGGTATGCACGGGAGCGGGGGGGCCTGGTCCGCGGCATCTGCCGCGGTCCAGGGCCAGCGCGCGCAACGGCGGAGGGCAGTCTGATTTGAGAGCGTGGGCGCCAGTCCAAGGTGTCCTGGAGTTAGCCCCAGCTCGGGTCCATAACAGCTAACATGGCTGTGGTGCGGCAGTGGCATCAAAGGCTTCCTCACCGCGCTGCTCATGGTCCTGTTGGGACTGGGCTCTGTTCACCTAAGCCTCCCGTTGCTGGGAGCCCGGGCTGGCGTCGAACACTGTGGCAGCTGGCCCAGGGAAGGAGGGAGCGAGGGAGCGTCAGGGTTGGACTCTGACTGATCTAGCTCATTCGAGCTTCCCAGGAACCATGAGGAGTAGGAGGAGGCGGAGGAGGAGGAGGCCGAAGAGGAGAAAGACGCACTGGAGGCGGGGGGCGGAGGAGGCGGTGGCAGCACACCATCAGCAAAATGGGAAGGATGAGGACGAGGAGGGAGGGGAGGAGTTGGAGGAGGGGAATTTGTAACAAGATTTGGGCGTGGATGTGGATGTCCTGCTCGTGGTTTCCGGGCATTCCCCGCGGTTCTCCGCCGGGACATTGAAGCGGGAAATCCCCATTCCACGCTGCTGCCTTTGAATATTAGTCTGCCTAGCTCTGGGGCGTGACGAAAGAGCTCGCGATTCGAGCTGAGCCGAATCTCATCGCCGCAAGTGCGGCCGCCCACGGTGGGGAGGGGGGGCAAGGAGGGAATCGGGCGGTCCGTAAGGGGGGGAGATCAGAGGAGTGGTGAAGAAAGGTGCACCTTTCGCGCACCTTCGGGTCCCCAGGAAGCCCCTTCAGGGCCTCTTCCCTGAAACCCCTTCACCCATGTATATATATATATATATATATATATATATACTAGAACCATCGCGCGCGCTTCGCGCGCGCTCAGGTTCTAGCAGACCCCAGGCCTTGACGAATTCACTGCTCCACTGAAGTAGTGGACCACAGTCCACGCATGCCAATCTGCATTCCGAAAGGCCTTCGAAGAAATGGTTGTCTAGGGGGCGGAAGCCGTATGAATCGGGTTCCCAGAAGGCCTTCTGGGAGCACGGGTTTGGGGGCGTCTTGAGGAGCCTGGTGAGGCGTGCCGTCGTCGTCGTCGTCGTCGTCGTCGTCGTCGTCGTCGTCGTCGTCGTCGTCGTCGTCGTCGTCATCGTCGTCGTCGTCGTCGTCGTCGTCGTCGTCGTCGTCGTCGTCGTCGTCGTCGTCGTCGTCTCGTCTGTAGCGGATCCCTAGACCCCTCCCTGGGTCCAAACGAGTAAGCGCAGCAGGGGCAGGAACAGAAGGCGATGGGAGCGAGAGGGGAGGCGGAGGAGGAGGGGGAGGAGGAGAAGGGGGAGCAGGAGGGGAGGAGGAACAGTTCAACCGACATCGGCTACGGAAGGACTCTCCAGGGTCCACCTGACGACTGCCTCTTCTGATGCTCCTTGAGGGACTTCAACCAAACCGCGAGGATCTCGTCGTACGGCGTACGTCGAACGTCATCGGCCGTCCTGGGGCCTCTCGGGGGCCTCTCGGGGCCTCTTGGAAATATATTGGGCCCTCCTGGGAGGCCTCTTGAAGTGGAAGGCTCCAATTGTCGGTTCGGGCTCCCCCATATTGGGCCTCTCTTGGGGCCGTGTTGGGGCCCTCCTGGGCCGTCTGAGGCGGCTCGTAGGCCGTCTTGGGGCCCTCCTGGCCGTATTTGGGCTTCTCTTGGGGGCTTCTCGGGCTGTTTCGGGGTGGTCTTGTTGACCCGTTGAGCCGGCATGGAGATTGGGGAAGCCGACAAGGCCAGAAGGGCGAAGTCCTTCAAAAGACACATAGAAAATCAACGAATTTGGGCTCTCGGGGCTATGTTGGGAGTCCTCCTGGAGCCTTCTTGTGGCGTCTTGTGGGCCTCTTCCGGGTTTTTTCTGGGCTTCTTGGGGCAGAAAGCTCGAATGGTCGGTTCGGGCTTCCGTTCTGGAGTCCCTCGTGGGGCCCAAAGGTGCGCGCAAGGTGGAGCGACCAGCTCTTGAAAGTAAAGAAATACATAGAATTCACTGGGCTGACCGCAGGCGGACGTCACCTGCAAGCCAGCATTGCAGCCTGACCCGCCTTGGCGCGAACGGCACACATACTGAGGCGCCGACCAATTCCCTTTCTGAACATTCGAACGCCAGCAATGAAACTGAACCTCGACGCATTCTGAACCCAGGACTTTACCTGGGATGAACACCTGCAACGGAGGGTGGTGCAGGGCACGCCGGCAGACGTGGCTGCCAGCCTGAAACAAAATCAATCTGGCTTCCTCGGGTCGATCTTGGGGGCCTCTTGGGCTGTTTACGAGCGTCGGGAACCCGAGAAGGCGAGATGACCAAAATCCTTCGAACATCTACGGAACATAAACAGTGTTCGGCTCTCAGGGCTCTCGCGGGGGTCCTCGTGGGGCCTTCTTGCGGCGTCTGGGTGGCCTCTTGGAGGCATCTTGGGGCGTATTCGGGGCCTCTTGGGGCCTCCCGGGCGCCTCTTTTGGCGGAAAGCTCAAATTGTCGCTTGGATTTCCCAATCTTGGGCTTCTCTTGGGCGCCTTTGGGGCCCCGTTTGGGCCGTCTGGGGCGCCTCTTGGGCCGTCCTGGGGCTCTTTTGGGCCGTCTTGGGGCCCTCGGGGGCGCCTCTTGGGCCGTCTTGGGGCGGTCTTGGGGACCTCTGATGTCATCAAGAACGGTACGACAGCGAAAACAATAATATGCTAAACATACACGTTTGAAAAGGGAATGAAGCAATCTTTGCCTCTTGGGGACGTCCTGGGGGGCCTCTCGGAAGCTGCTTAGGAGCGTTTGCGAGGCCTTTGGAGGTGTCTTGGGGGCCATCTTGGGCATCTTGGAGCGGCCTTTGGGTGTCTTGGGTCCGTCTTGGGGCGTCTTCGGGTTCTCTTGGCGCGTTCCCGGGGCGTTTTGAAGGCCTCAGGGACGCCCCAAGAGACTGGGCACACACATTTGTGGTCGTGGTCGCGGCCCCGGGCCCCCGGACCCCGTGCGCTGTTATATGTTTGTGTGTGCGTATCTATATATATATATATATACATATATATGCCGTCTTGGGAACCCCTTGGGCCGTCTTGGGCGCGATGACAGCCCAACAGGCGAACACACGAAAAATATACGTTTCCCCACAGGAATGGGACGATTTGTGTTTCTTGGAGCTCTCTTGGGGTGCCTTTTGGAGCGTCTTGGGGTGCTTTTGGGAGCTTTCGGGGCGTTTCTTGGGGGCTTCTCGGCGCCTCCTGGAGCCACTTGGGGTCGAAAGCTTGGAATTCGATGGTGGCTTTCCTCCTCTGGGGCCCTCTCGGGCCCGTCTTGGGGACTCTCTTGGGCCGTCTTGGGCCCTTCGTGGGCCGTCCTGGAGCTTTCTGGGGCTGTATTGGGGCCCTCTGGGGCGCGTCCTGGGATGTATTGGGGCGGTCTTGGGAGCTTCTGAGGTCGTCAAGCACGGACCGAATGCGAAAACAAACAATATGTTAAACATATACATTTTACAAAAAGGAATGGGTCTATTTTGGCCCCTTGGGGCTCTGTTTGGGGCCCTATTGGGGGTCGCTTGGGAGTGTCTTGCAAGGGCTTTTGAAGCCGCCTTGGAGGCCATGTTGGGCGTCTGGGAGCGACCTTCGGGCGCCCCGGGTCTGTTCTGGAGCCTCTTGGGGCCTCCTTGGCGCCTTCTGGCGGCTTTCTGTGAAGCCCCGGGGCTCCCCGAGGGCCCCAGAGCCCATTTGCGGTAGCGGCGCCGGCCCCGGGCGCCTGGACCCGGTGCGCCGTTGTGTGTGTGTATATATATATAAACAAGAACCACGCGCGCGCTACGCGCGCGCTTAGGTTCTAGCTTCGCCCGGGGCAACGGCCAAACAACGGACGAGGAGGTTGAAGGCTGAATGCACTTCGGTTATTCGTCGAGTTTCGTGGTCGCGGTTCGAAGAGCTTTTGGGCGCTCCTCACCCCCAGGCGGCCCGAGGCGGCCGAAAACGACACCTCTTCCTCGTCCTCCTCTTTCCCCCTGCTCTTCCTCCTCTCCTCCTACTCTTCCTCCTTCCCCCATCGCCCCCTCCTTTCCCCCCTTCCTCCTCCTCCGCCCCCTTCCTCCCCTCCTCCTCCTTTCCCTCCTCCTCACCCTTCTCCTCTTCCTCCTCCTCCTTCTCCTCCTCCTTCTCCTCCTACTTTCCCTCCTCCTCCTCCTCCCCCTCCTCCTCCTCCTCGTCCCCACACCTCCTCCTCCTCCTCGTCCCCCTCCTCCTCCTCCTCCTCCTCCTCATCATCATCATCATCGTCATCATCATCATCATCATCACCATCACCATCATCATCTTCATCATGTTCCTCCTCCTCCTCTCCCTCCTCCTTCCCTCCTCCTCCTCTTCCTCCTCCTCCTCCTCCTCCGCCTCCTCCTCGTCCTCCTCCTCCTCCTCCTCCTCCTCCCCCTCCTCCTCCTCTCACTCCTCCTTTTCCTGCTCCTCCTCCTCCTGTTCGGACTACATGGCTCGCCAAACGGCAGTGCGACGCCGCGCAAGCATTGGGCCACATCGGATACATGGAACACTCGGGGGAGGGCCTCCCTCTTGCTCTTCCTCCTCCTTTTCTCCTTTTCTTCCACATCCTCCCCCCCTCCTCCTGCTCCTCCTCCTCCGCCCCCCCCCCCTCCTCCTCCTCCTCCTCCTCCTCCTCCTCCTCCTCCTCCTCGTCCTTCCTCCTCCTCCTCCTCCTCCTTCCCCTCCTCCTCCCCCCCCTCCTCGTCCTCCGCCCCCCCTCCTCCTCCTCCGCCCCATCCTCCTCCTCCTGCTCCTCTTCCCCCCCCCTCCCCCCTCCTCCCCGTCATCATCATCATCATCATCATCATCATCATCATCATCATCATCATCATCATCACCATCATCATCATCAATATCATCATCATCCCTCTTCCCTCCTCCTCCCCCCGCCCCCCTTCCCTCTCCACCCCCCTCCTCCCCCCCTCGTCCTCCTCTTCCTTCTCCCCCTCCTCCTCGCCCATCTCCTCCTTTCCTGTTCCTCCTCCTCCTCATCCTCCTCCTCCACCGCCTCCGCGTGCAAGAAATCCAACCACATGTCGCGGAAATCAACGAACTGTGTCCCTCCGGGTTTTCTCGAGCGTCCTTTTGGGACTTGTCGGGGCCGTCTTAGGGCCCCCTTGGGCGTCCTGGGAACCCCGAAATCATGTTCCTATAGGGGCTCCGGGGAACATGATTTCGGACGCTGCGGAAGAGGCCTCCCGAGAATCTCTATAGGCAGCTCTGCTTGCCCCCGTTGTGGCTCTGTTGGGTGCCTTTTGGGGCTCTCTTGGGCTGGCTTGTAGCTATCCTGGGTCATCTTGGGTCCCTCTTGGGCCGTCTTGGGGCTCCTCGGGGTGGCACTGTGAAGACGTCATCGTCGTCGCCGTTCGCCGATCGGCGGCGTCAACTGTTGTCATCGTCGTCCATCGTCGTCGTCGTCGTCGTCGTCGTCGTCGTCGCGTCGTCGACGACCGTCGTCGTCATCGTCAATCACCGTCGCCGATCACCGTCGCCGATCGTCGATCGGCCCCGAGCCCTCCCGCCCACTCATCCTCCTCTCCTCCTCCTCTTCCTCCTCCTCCTCCTAATCTGCCTCCTCTTCCTCTTCCTCCTCCTCCTCCTGAAATCATGTTCCCGGAGACGCTTCCGGGGACAGGGTTTCGAACGATGCCGAAAAGACTGGTTCCAGGGTGGCTTTGCGCACGCGGACAGCGTCGCCGCCGTCGGCGTGGCCGTCGTCGTCGTCGCCGTCGTTCGTCGATCGGCGACGTCGACTGTTGTCATCGTCTTCTATCGTCGTCGTCGTCGGTCGTCGACCGTCGTCGTCGTCGTCGTCGTCAATAACCGTCGCCGGTCGTCGTCTCCGATCGTCGATCGCCCTCGAGCCTCCTCCTCTCTCCCCCCCTCCGCCCCTCCACTCCTCCTCCCCGCCTCCTCCTCCTTCTCCTCTTCCTTCTCCTCCTCCTCCTCCTCCTTCGCCCTCGCCGTCTCCTCCGCGCGGAAGAAATCCAACAACATCTCGCGCAAATCAACGAACTATGGCCCTCCGGGCCTTTTTGAACGTCCATTGAAGGCTTTTTGGGGCCGTCTTAGGGCCCTCTTGGGCGTCCTGAGAACCAGGAAATCATGTTCCCGGAGAGGCTTCTGGGAATATGATTTCGAACGAGGCCCTCTTGGGACTCCCTGAGGCCGTGTTGGGAGCCTCCTGGGCCAACTTTGGGGCCTCTTGGGCCGTCTTGGGGGTTCCGTGAGCCTCACAGGACGACCCTTTTGGGCCGTCTTGGGCCCTCTTGGGTCTCTCTTGGGCTGTCTTGTGGGGCTCGGGGGCGTCTGGGGCACTGCGAGGCCCAAGCAAGCAAGTATGCTGAAAACGTACGTTGTACAACGGGAGCGGGCCGATTTCTGCCTCTTGAAGGCCCTCTTCGGCCAACTTCAAACCATCTCGGGCCCTCTTGAGGCGCTCTTGGACGTTTTGAGGCCCTCTTGGGCCTCGCTGAGGCTGTCGGACAGCGTCGCCGCCGTCGGCGTGGCCGTCGTCGTCGCCGTCGATCATCGATCAGCGGCGTCGACTATTGTCATCGTCGTCGATCGTCATCGGTCGTCGTCGTAGTCGTCGTCGTCGTCGTCGTGAATCACCGTCGCTGGTCGTCGTCTCCGATCGTCGATCGCCCTCGAGCCTCCTCCTCCTCTCTCCCCCCTGCACTCCTCCTCCCCGCCTCGTCCTTCTCGTATTCCTCCTCCTCCTCCCCCCCCTCCTCCTCCCCCTCCTCCTCCTCCTCCTCCTCGTCCTTCGCCCTCTCCGTCTCCTCCGCGTGGAAGAAATCCAACAACATTTCGCGAAAATCAGCGAACTGTGGCCCTCTGGGAATTTTTGAATGTCAGTTTAAGCAATTTTGGGGCCGTCCTCGGGCCCTCTTGGGCGTCCTGGGAGCCCGGAAATCATGCTCCCGGAGAAAATTCTGGGAACATGATTTCGAACGAGGCCCTCTTGGGCCTCCTTGAGGCCGTTTTGGGGGCCTCCTGGGCCGGCTTTGGGGCCTTTGGGGCCGTCTTGGGCTGTCTTGGGGCTCCTCGGGGCTGAGGACGAAGCAAGCGAGTATGCTGAAATTGTACGTTTTACACGAGGAATGGGTAAAGTTTTGCCTCTTGAAGGCCCTCTTGGGGCCCTCTTCGGCCATCTTCAAGCCATCTCGGGCCCTCTTGAGGCGCTCTTGGACGTCTTGGGGCCCTCTGGGGCCTCGATGAGGCTGTCTTGTGTGCCTCTTGGGCTGTCACGCGGGCAGCGTCGCCGCCGTCGGCGTGGCCATCGTCGTCGCCGTCGATCGTCGATCGGCGCCGTCGACTATTGTCATCGTCGTCGATCGTCGTTGTCGTCGGTCGTCGACCGTCGTCGATCGTCGTCGTCGTCGTCGTCATCGTTGTCGTCGTCGTCGTCGTCGTCGTCGTCAATCACCGTCGCCGGTCGTCGTCGCCGATCGTCGATCGCCCTCGAGCCTCCTCCTCTCTCCCCCCCTCCTCCCCTCCACTCCTCCTCCCTGCCTCCTCCTCCTTCTCCTCTTCCTCCTCCTCCTCCTCCTCCTCCTTCGCCCTCTCCGTCTCCTCCGCGCGGAAGAAATCCAACAACATCTCACGCAAATCAACGAACTGTGGCCATCCGGGCCTTGTCGAAGGTCCTTTTAAGGCCCTTTTGGGGCCGTCCTGGGGCCCTCTTGGGCGTGGAGTAAGTTTTGGCTCCCGGGGCCCTTTTGGAAGGCCTCTTGGAGCCTTCTTGGGGCGTCTTGACGGCCTCGTGGCCCTTCTGGAGGCCATGTTGGGCCGTATCGGAGCGCTCCGGGGGCCCTCTCGGGGCGACCGGGAAGTCTCTTGGGCCATCTTGGGCGGACTGGGAGGCCCGGGGGCCGCCCGAGGAGCGTCCCAGGAAGCCCTCCTAGGCCCTCTTAGCGCTGTCCTCAGGCGTCCTGGGGCGTCCTTGGGCGCCTCCTGGGGCTGTCTGACAACTCGGACAGCCAAGGGATGAGATATCCTAAAAATGTACGTTTTACGAAGGGAATGGGGCCATTTTGGTTTCCCGGGGCGCTCTTGGGGGGCCTCTTGGAGGCCTCTTGGGGCGGTTTGATGGCCTCTTGTCCCTTCTGGAAGCGATCTTTGGCGGTCTTGAAGCGATCCTGGGCTTCTCTCGGCGCTCTTGGAGCCTTCTTTGGCGGACTGGGAGGCCCGGGGGCCGCCCGAGGAGCGTCCCGGGAGGCCTTCCTGGGCTGTCTTCGGGCTATCCTAGGGCGCCTCGTGGGGCTTTCTGACCGCTCCGACAGCCAAGGGAGCTGATATCTTAAAAATGTACGTTTTACGAAGGGAATGGGGCCATTTTGGTCTCCCGGGGCGCTCTTGGGGGGCCTCTTGGAGGCCTCTTGGGGCGGTTTGATGGCCTCTTGGCCCTTCTGGAAGCGATCTTTTGCGGTCTTGAAGCGATCCTGGGGTTCTCTCGGCGCTCTTGGAGCCTTCTTGGGCGGACTGGGCAGCCCGGGGGCCGCCGGAGGAGCGTCCCGGGAGGCCCTCCTGGGCCGTCTTGGGGCTGTCCTCAGTCGTCCTGGAGCGTCCTTGGGCGCCTCGTGGGGCTTTCTGGCCGCTCCGACAGCTAAGGGAGCTGATATCGTAAAAATGTACGTTTTACGAAGGGAATGGGGCCATTTTGGTCTCCCGGGGCGCTCGTGGGGGGCCTCTTGAAGGCCTCTTGGGGCGGTTTGAGCGCCTCTTGACCCTTCTGGAAGCGATCTTTGGCGGTCTTGAAGCGATCCTGGGGTTCTCTCGGCGCTCCTGGAGCCCTCTTGGGCGGGCTGGAACGCGCGGGGGCCGCCGGAAGGGCGCCCCGGGAGAGGGCCGCACCCTATATACAAGGGAGGTTCCGGCCCGGGGCCCGGGGCCCGGGATCTCCCATATATGTATATGTATATACAAACATATATATAAACATACCAACTGCATAAACATACACTTTCCAAAATCCGAAAGTGTGTGTGTGTGTGTGTGTGCGTGTGTCGTGCCAGTCTTGCCTCTTCGATTTGGAGCCCCCTTCCTGCAACCCTCGATCACACCCCACATGCATATAGGCCTCCTGGATGGGGTCCGAGTGGATGGGCTCGAAGGATCGCGCCGCAACGCCAATGTATCGCCGATGCATCGGCGACGTCGGCGATGCATCGGCGACATGGGCGATGCATCGGCGACATCGGCGTGGAGATGGTATGGCTCCACGCCGAACCGCATCGCCGATGCGGAGCGATCATGCGAGGACCCTATCTACAGTCGAAGCTGTTAGTAGAGATGTGCGACAAGGATGCGAGGGCCCTGGACGCCCATGTCGAAGTTGTTCGAGGTGGTCTGGCCATCGAAAGTATTTGAGCATGGATCGAAGATGGCCGAGGAGGCAAGGATGCAAGGGCACCCACGGGAAGTCGATCATCCTCACTATCAACGTTGACTGTACTCCGACCCCATCTGGGAGGCCCAGAACGTACCGACACCCTGGTGGTACAAAACGCCCAGGTGAACGTTTTCATATTCGGCATTTCGCAAATTGGGCGGAAGGGGGGGGGGTCTGGCTCCGGACGACCTCTGCTTAGCGCGACTGCTTGCATCGGTGCGTCCCATGGGGGAGACTCCACCTGCGGTGCGAGGGCCCGCGCCGATCGGCAAACGAGTAAACGATCTCGATGATCGCCAGAGACATCGGGGATGGACAGACCTCCCTTAGCAAAACGTGGTTTAGTGAAAACGACCTGAGGCCCAAACCTGGCGGGCGCAAGACTGGACAATAACGGCCGCGGCGCCCTCTCGAGAACCGAAAACGGACAATTCACGAATCGACGTGTCACTGTTGGGGGTTCTGTCCACCCCCGAAGACAGCACCCCTGGGCTTTTGCCGAGGCCGTCCTCCGCCAGCAGGTGCCCCGCCTCGGCAGCCTGCCGCACCGGCAGGGGAGGCGAGGGAGGGGGGGGGGAGGGCGGGGGGCCCCAGGGAGGGGCCCGGGAGGAGGGGCGGCCAAGAGCACGAGACGAGAGGAAGGAGTCCTGTCCCTCTGGAGCGCGGGCGAGTAGAGGAGGCCGAGGAGGAGGCCGAGGAGGAGGAGGAGGAGGAGGAGGAGGAGGAGGAGGAGGAGGAGGGAGGAGGAGAATGAGGAGGCCGAGGAGTACCACCGACCAGAAAAGTGGAGGGCGGCCAAGAGCAAGAACGAGACGAGAAGAAACGATATCGTCCGTCCCTCCAGGCAGGGGCGGTCCTGCGGCAGCTCCGTGTCCATTACGGGCTGCTCGGCCGTCCAGAAGCTGTCGTCTGAACGCCCCGTGCTAAGGCTAATACACACTTACTGCGTCGAGCCCCTATTCTGAGGCGGGCTTTCATGAGGCTCAGGGTAAACTCAGGGGAAAAACATGCCGAGAGGCTCAAAATATTTGATACGTATTATGTAAAAGGTCAATACCAACGAATTGGGACAGGAGGGCTTCTCTAGTCGTATTGCTAAGGAGGTGGGGGAGGATGGCACTCAGAGGCTCTGCGCCCCAACCTTCAGGTAACCAAGGGAGAACACGACGGGCACACTCGATAAGGACGGGGCAGTGGGAGTAGTGGAGGAGATCGTCGCCGCCCATCGCGCAGCAGCTGAATCCACAGACCTGGATACTTTGGCGATACCTGCGGGTGGTATCCCACCCGTTGAAAACACTCTTCAAACACGCAATCAAAATGAAACTGCGAAGGCATTGGCCCGCGACTTTTATCTTGGTAAACGTCGAAAACATACCAGCAGCCGAAATCGAGGGGTCTCATTTTTTCAACCGAAAGGCGATCACTTCAGCTGTGGGGGTGAGGTTCATTCTCCAATCCTGGTTAAGCTTCTTGGTGATGGCTGCCTGGACGGACTTCCTCTGGCACTCGATCGGCCTGTGGACGCGGTGGAAAACGTCGTACTGATCCCACATACGCAGGAAAAAACAGTGTCGAGCATACGGGTTGGCACGGAAGACGTGCAGGCATCGTCAGACTGCGAAAATACCTCGAGCTCATCCTTGGGCGGATGGAACTTGGAGGAGTTCGACGCAGCACGGAACAGGCATGCACGTTGTGCCCAAGGTCCTTGAGCTGGTGTAAAGCCTCAGGTGGAAACGAGAACCTGGGGGCGCACGTCAGCCGTTGAAACACATTTTTCTCCGCAGGCGCAGTCCGCCTCGGGGGCTCCCAGATCTGAGCAACGTAACTGACAACAGGGAGCCCGAACATATTGTAAGCCGAGGTGCTGTAGCTCAGCGCACCCCCAATCTGTTTAACCTGGAGGGATCGTTTGCTCAAAGTGTGCATCACTTGCCTCCAAAACGCCTCCTGGCCGTCGATGCCCAAGAACACACCCAAACACTTACAATTCTTAGTAACAGAATTGCGAGATATTTAGACCTAGGGCTCGACACTCCTGGAAAACTGTGCTCCTGAAGCCGGGGTTGGGGATAATCAGGACGCGCTTCTTAAGGTTCAAAACGAGGCCCGTGCACTTCCCTGCCTGAACAAAAAAAACCTCAAGACCTCGGGCAAGCTCTCGAGAATGTTCCTGCACGCGACTCCAACATCATCAGCAAAGGCTCCTGGGACCATTGGGAGACCACAGCACTTCAAACGGATTTTCTTGAGGATCGGGTTAATACACAGGCAGAAAAACAGACCAGAAATAGGGCACCCCTGTTTCACGCCACGAAGGATGTCGATGGCAACTGGCTCAGATCCGTGAGTGCTGATGCTCATCTTCATGTTGGAGTACAGTGCTTTGATCGCCCTCTGTACACGACAGGGAATCCGTAGACTCCTAAGCACCGCCCAGATATAGTCGTGGAAGACGCTGGGGAACGCATTCTTAACGTCGAATAATGCTGTCGCGAACTTGGGACCGATGTCCATCACAGCCCACCGCAGGAAAGCTGCATCAATCTCAACCATATTATCCAACATTTGGCGGTCTTTCACAGAACCTCGCTGGCATACTTCAGCAATGCCCTCCACAACTTTACCCAGAGCGAAACCTACACAGCTGGTGACAATCTTATTGTCGGCATTGCTGAGGGACAAGGGCCGCGTACATGCAGGAGTATGCGCATCTTCTGCACCGTCTGGACTCTCCTTGGGTAGAAACACCCCTCTCGAGATGTTGAACTGCGGTGGCAGGCGGCCCGAATCCATCAGGCGCTGATGCACTTGATATAGAACATGATGGCCTGTAATTCCTGCTGCCTTCCACGCTGCATATGGGATCCCATCGGGGTCAGGAGAGGTGTCCTTTTTCCATGCGAGGATGTCCTGGAAGGTACTTTCAGGTAAGACCCAAGGATAAAGCGACTGGTCTTTGGCTCTACATTGGTATGAGTCCAGGGGCAGCGGGTCCATCTCTTCACAGAGTTTGTTGATGGCCTCCGCTGGTGCTGTGGCCCCACGGAATACCTCCCCCCAATACTTCGCCAGGATATTAGCACAGTCCCTCCCGTCAGCATAGTGGTTGCCATCCCCATCAATAACCCGTTGCAGGCAAATCTTACGGCCACACGACCGCCAAGCGAGCGCCATGTCTCGCATGCGTTGCACAGCTGCAGCACACTTGGCCTCTGCGATCTCGGCCTTTGTTCGTTCAACTACCTGCTCGAGTGACGCCTCTCGCTTAGAACATACTTCCCGCATCAGCCCTCCAAGATGGGAATCGAAGCCAAAACGATTTTTCCAGATCCAAATCTCGGTGTCCACAAACTGCTCCAGGAACGAGTACCCACGGGTAGCGTCACGGGCACTGTGGTCCTTCCCAGACCGAAGCCCCCGAGCGAGTTTAAGACAGCCGGCAACTCGTTCTTCAAGCGAGTGGGCTCCAGAATGCGATATCTGATACCGAACGGCACCAGCGGCAAGGTGGAAAACATCTTTGATACCCTGGAGCTGGGAGTCGAGGTCTTCCCCCAGCTCTGCTGGAACTAAAAGGTCCTGCACGATGTCACGAAACACCTGGTGACGAGCGATCCAAGCTGGAATGGGGACGGGACCTGACGGCTTCCATGGCCTAAGAGTGAGGAAAGCAGGAACATGGTCCGAGGGCTTGGACAGGTCCGAAGCAGGCCGAGGAGGAGGCGGAGGAGGAGGCCGAGGAGGAGGCGGAGGGAGGAGGAGGGAGGAGGCGAACGAGGAGGGCGGCCTCCGCCGCCCGCGGGGCTCGGCTTCTCCTCCGCCGCAGAAGGGGAGGAAGGGCCTGACGTCGCGGACGGAGGCTCCGGGGTGCAGCCGCGGGTTCGTGCCGTGTCGACCCAGCGTTGTGGCGGCGCGGCGCAAAGGGGGTACGGGCAGGGGAGAAAAGGCTTCTTTGAAACAGAGGTGCTTCTGAGAAGCCCTCCACCCTCCCCCAACCCCCTCTGCGTGGCTGAACGCTGGTTCCTGGGACAGCGGGGATCGTTCAACCTTGAACGATCGGCCGCTCCATGCAGTCTCCGAACCGTCAGGTGATTAAACGATGGGCCGATTCTGAGTCTCGCTGGCGGCGTTTAGCGTGGAACGCCAGCGGCGGGCTAATGATATAGAGCACCAGGGCCCTAAGCTACCCTAGGCCCTACTACCTACCCTAGGCTTGCCTAGGGTAGGCCCTACTGAAGGCCCCAGGCTTCCCTAGGGTAGGCCCTACTGAAGGCCCTAGGCTTCCCAAGGGTAGGGACTACTGCAAACCCAAGGGTTGGCCTAGGGTAGGCCTAGGGGTAGGCCCTAGGGGTGGGCCTAGGGTAGGCCTAGGGCCTAGAGTAGCCCTATCAGCACGCCCTGGGGGTAGACCTAGGATAGCCCTAGGGGTAGGCCCTAGGGGTAGGCCTAGGGGTTGGCCTAGGGGTAGACCCTCGACCCTACCACATCTCCTCCACCTCCTCCTCCTCCTCCTCCTGCTCCTTCTCCTGCTCCTGCTCCTGATCCTGCTCCCTCTCCTCCTGCTCTTGCTCGTCATCGTCCTCCTGCTCCTTGATGTCATCGTTCTTCCCCATTGGTGACCACCCCCTCAATGACCGCCCCTCGGAGACCCTTTCTCCTGGACGCCCCCCTCCCCCTACCCCCTGCCCAATGGACCTGGAGGGGGGGGTTCGCGAGTCGTCGGAGCGTCCAAAGCGGCCTCGGCGAGGTGGTTTTACTCGGGTTTTGGCACCATTTTGACTTCCTGGGGGGGGGGCGCTAATTGAACACCCCCCCTCCTGTGATCGATCTGACCTAAGATGGCCCAAATATGGCCCCCAAGGCTCCCAAGGGTGCCCCAAGAGGGCCCCAGGAGGTGGCCAGGAAACCTCATGAGGCCCCCAGGATGCCCCCAAGAGGCTCCCAAGTGACCTCCAAGAGACCTCCAAGAGGCCCCAAGAGGCCCCCCAGAGGCACCCAAGACGCTCCAAGAGGCCTCGGCGACAATGCCAACATCGCTGATTCTACCAATGTGTTGGCCATATGTTGGCCTCGCGGGGGGGCACTGCTTCAGATGACTCCAAAAACGCCTTGGAAAGCCAAAGATGATCTCCAAGATGGCTCAAGATACCCCAAGATGCCTCAAGCTGGCGCCCACGATGCTCCAAGAGGCCCCAAGACCGCTCCAAGACGGCTCCAAGTGGCCAGAGAGCTCCCACTGGAGGCCCCGAGGAGGACAAAATCCGTCCAAAACCTTGGGGCAACCAGTGTGTTTGGCTTTCGCGCCGAAGCCTCAAGATGGTTCCAAGATGGCCCAAGAGGGCTCCAAAAGCGCTCCCAAGGCTCCCAAGAACGCTTCACGAGGGCCCCAAGAGGCGCCCAGGAGGCCCCAACAGGCGCCCAAGAAGCCTCCAGGAGGCTCCCAAGAGACCCCCAAGAGGCCCTAAGAAACTCTCCGAAGCACCCAAGCCGCTCTAAGAGGCGTCCGGGACCGCCAAAAGGCCCCCAAGACGCTCCAAGAAGCCTCCACTGGGGGACCCTTCCTCTGTGTGTTGCCCGCTTCCCTGATCGAGGCAATTGCTCTGGGCATCGTTTCTGGATGGGCTGGTGGGGATTCGTTTTAGTCATCGGCCGCAGGCGATCGCGCCAGCGGCGAGTCCAGTCAAAGCGGGGCGCGCAAAGACGAATTAAGCTAAAGCGGTGGGCCGAAGCCTCACGCGGCACCTCAGCGGCCAGGCCGGCGAGTGGGAAGGGGCTGGCAGCAACTGCTGAAGAGCTGCATTGCCAGGGTGCACGCATGCAACGCGCTGCAAGGAGAAGCTGGCTGCCAGAGTGGACGGCGGCCAGGGTCTGCGAGCTGCGGGGGAATTAAATGCAGGGGCGTAGGCACCCATGGGAGCTGGCGGGGATTCTCTTTTTGATTTGCGGCCCAAAGGACGACTCCAGAGAGCGGGTCAATCTCGACAGGGGCGCAAAGCGAGACGATTGGCAACGAAGGCACAAAGGCCAACGCCGCAATGCACATGCGAGGGACAAAATGAACCTCATTAGAGCCGACCCGGGAACGGAAGACGGCAGCAGACTGGAAAGCCGGCGGAGGGTCGCACTGTGGCGCCAGCCCCCACAGACCGAGCCTGCGTTATGGCGGGAACAATGTGCGGGCAGCACAGAGCCCCAGGAGAGTCACCGCCAAACGCGGCGAGGGGAGCAGAAGGGGGGACAGGCGCGGGCGGCGACGAGGGGAGCGGGGGGAGGAAACAAGGCCTCACTCACAGAACACCTCACGTGCACGAAGCCAGGAGCGCCAACGAGTGTCGGGCGTCGGCGGCCTAGTCGTCAGAGTCCCAGCTGGTGGGGATTCGCGAAGCGTCAACAATTCCCCTTCGGGGACACTCCATCGATGACCCCCCCGTCGGAGACACCCCCTCCTGCGCGGCTTCTCGGAGCCTCCTCTCGAACACATCTCTCCTCGGCGACCCCCATCGACCCCTCCTCGGCAACCCCTCAGGGACCCCCCCTCCTCGGTGACCCCCCCTCCTCCATCCCTCGAGGATACCTCTCGGGGACATCCCCGTAGAGACTCCCCTTCGGGCCCCCCCCCCTTAGGCCAACTCCTCGGCGGTCGGAGACGCTCCCTCCGGCATCGCTCCTCGGGCCTCCCCCTCGGCGACCCCCCTTCGGGGACCTCCCCTCGGGAACCCCCCTCGGCGACCCCTCGGGGACCCCCTCTCGGGCCCCCCCCCTCCTCGGTGACCCCCCCTCCCCCCTCATCCCTCCTCCGTCTTCCATTTCCTCCTCTTCCTCCTCCTTTTCCTCCTCCTCCTCCTCCTCCTCCTCCTCCTCCTTCCTTCTCCTCTTCCTTGGGGACTCCCCTTCGAGAACAAAGAGGGGGTCGCCGAGGAGCCCCCCCCCCACCCCCACGGGGACACCTCCTCGGTCGTCGGAGACGCCCTCTCCGGCACCGCTCCTCGGATCCCCCCTCGGCGACCTCCCTTCGGGGACGCCTCCTCGGCGACCCCCCCAGCGACCCCCCTTCGCGGCCCCCCCCCCTCCATGCCCTAGGGGCATGCCCTAGGGGTAGGCCGCAGACCCTAGAGCGGCCTGAGGGTAGACCTAGGGTAGGCCTAAGGGTAGGCCCCAGGGGTAGGCCTAGGGTAGGCCTAGGGGTAGGCCCTAAGGGTAGGCCTAGGGGTAGGCCTAGGGGTAGGCCTAGGGTAGATCTTCCCCTGGGTGTTTTTGTTGAGGGGCCTGGGCCACACATCATAGGCTCAACGACACAAAAATCCGAGGAGCGGTCCGAAGACTCGAGCCCCTCCTTAGCCCAGAGCGGTCTTTCTTTCAGCGTCTTGAAGGTAGCAGCCGCGTGCCCGACGGCACGCGGGCAATTCCAGATCGTGCGCCAGAAGGTGTCGCTACGCACTGCTGCGTTCCGAGCTTCCGCTCGGAGCATGACCAAGTCAGCCGCTACTCCAGGGACCGAGTGGGAGGGCCGAAGGCGCACACGGGGAGAGGGGGTACCAAGCGTGAGATGGAAGTAAAAGCGCAGCTGCGGTCGGCACCAATGGCCCGCTTCCAGAGCCTCCGTGCCCCCTCCAGCCTTTTCACGAGCGGCGAGCATATCCGTATCCGCGCCTCGCGGTCTGGATTCCGGGGCGCGATCCCGCGGATACGCTGCGCACGGATACGTTCCGCGCCGGGCATCCACGAAAAAACGCCGTATCCGTGGAGTCGCGGCCCAAAGGCCCGGCCCGCGAGGCCGCGGATACGGATATCGCGGATACGGATATGTTGTTCGCCAACGACGTTCCCGGTCCCTGCCCCCCACGGAATCCTTCCCTCCTCTGAGCTCGAGTCGGGCTTCTACCAGCTGCTGGGCGGCGACAGCCTTGATCACAAGATAACACTGCAGGGCCTGCGAATGGGCAACACATTCAAGTGCGGAGGCGGATTTTGCAGCATTGGCTCATGCCACCCCTCGTGCCTTCAGTTCCTGCTTCCTCCTCTCCCCGATTACAGCTCGTCCTGCGGAAATCCTCGCGCCCATCCTATACTGGAGTAAGATCAACAATAATACACATATTTTGGAAGTCCGCGCAAATTTCTCCTATCCGCGCTGGGCCCTAGTCCCTGGCGCTATCTGCGCGCCAGGGGCGGCGCCAGAAGCGCCACCAGGGGGGCCCAGCGCAGGTCCAAGAAATCCGCACGGAGCTCAGAAAGTTTACGTTTCTAAGGCGTGTTTCCTTCTTCGATTAACATCCTGTGAAACAATGACCGTCGGTCGGCATCGCGTTCATTGCCTTCACTTGAGCTGGCAGGGCGGCACGGCTCGCGGTATCGCATCGCCATCGCCGTGGGACACCGACTGTCGCTTGCAATGAAGGAAGAAGAGGCAGAAGACTAGAAGAAGACACAGCAGGAACGAGAATGACGTACGGCGGCTCCCCGGCTGGATCCTGGAGGTCGTCCAGCGTGCCAATGCCCCCCCCAATGGGCCTTCTGAGACCCGAGCTGATCGCCCAAAATGCGAATGCGAGGGCGCAACGTCGGTGCACCGCCGAACCTCCGACGCCCGACGCCTCGAAGGTGCCGTGACGGATATCCCGGCTCTCGGGAGAGGGTAGGTCCTGACGGAGTAAGCCCAGACGGAGACCGAGCACTCCGTATAGACCTACTCCGTATGGACTTACTCTATATGGACTTACTCCTCACGCCCAGAGAGAGAGGCGAAGTCCGGACATAATAAGCTCAGACGGAGTCCGAGCACTCCGTATGGCTTTACTCCAGTGGCGCAATCTTTGGACGTGGCTTCACGCGTAGCCTCATTTTGCCAGGGCCCTGAGGCCAGAAGTGTGCCTCCTGGGCCGAATCGTGCCCCCAGAGACGCCATCATGGTTTGATGGATAGAGGCGCTCGGTGCCCCTAATTGGCGGCGCGCACAAGGGGGCAGGAGGAGGGGGGGAAGCTTCTTGGGAGGCTGCTTCTCTGAAGGTGCCGGCCTTACATCTACACCCTGCGAAATGCTTAAGAAATCATGGGTTAAGAAATTCATAGTCTCAGACCTTGAATAAAAGCCCAACATTTCTATTAAAGTCTTAGGGTTTTCATCGAAGCATTAAGAATCATCGAGACTCTGGCCGAACACTTGGGTTTTCTTGAGCATCGCCTGGAGTGTATAGTCGAGGCCCTCGCCTTCTAGGGAGCAGGGGTGGTTCTAAGAGGCCTCCCCCCTGCCCCCTTCCCTGATGTGCCTGTTTTCCACCACCACCACCATAAGTTGGAGGGGGAAGGAGGAGGTCGAGGAGGAGGAGGAGGAGGAGGAGGAGGAGGAGGAGGACCCCCTCCCCCTCCAACTTATGGTGGTGGTGGTGGAAAACAAGCCCATCATTCCCCCCTCTGCGCGTGGACGAAGATATGCGCCGTACGGTGCCCCTGAGCCGATCTTCGGAGCCCGCCCAGCACTCGGCCACCCGTGCGCTCCGAGACCATCCATCCCCTCCTCCTCCTCCTCCTCCTCCTTCTTCTCCTCCTCCTCCTCCTCCCTCCTCCTCCTCCTCCTCCTCCTGCTCCTCCTCCTCCTCCTCCTCCTCCTCCTCCTCCTCCTCCTGCCGATGCTCCCCCGCGGGCGGAAGGCCCGCCCGCCAGACGTCCGCGCCCTCCGCCCGCGGGGGGAGCATCGGCATGAGGAGGAGACGGATCCTGGACCCGAGGGGCCCTCCCTGAGACGAGCGCCTCCCGAGCCGCTGTTCGACGGCCCCGGGCCCCAGGCAGAGGCCCTGGGAAGCCGACAGCGGCGAGACGCCTCCGGGACCCGTGGAGGGGCTGGCCCGCGGCCTGCTGCATGAGGTCCTCCGAGCTGTCGGCCGGCATCGCGGCGGAGTCTCGGCGGGCCGGGGCGTGCGCAGCCACGCCCAGTGCCGCGCACGGCGTCGGGCCAGGACGGCTGCGAATTCGGCGACGCTCGGCAACGAGCAGGAAGAGCAGGGAGACGGGGATAGGACGGGCTGCGTGCTGGGGCACGTACGCGGTGTCTCATCACTCTCCGACTGATCGGGACTGGGAGAAGGGATGGGGGTACATAGAGATGGGGGAGGGCAGAGAAGTGTGAGGAGGCGGATGGGGCAGGGCGTGGGTGGGGAGGATGAGGAAGAGGTTGCACGGTGTTTGGGACGGTGGTTCCTGCTCCTTGTCCATCTTCGGAGTCAGCGGCACCTCCTTTGGGGGGCGCACAGAGATGCCGATACTGCTGCTCCCTAGACAGCTCCTGGAGCGCACTCAGACCAGGCTCCCGAGGCGGATCCGACCGTGGCGACAGTGGCCCCGCCCAAGAAAGGGCGAACACGACGGAAGGGCATCGGTATCCGCACGTCTCCCTCCGCTGATCCTTGATGTGCTCGGGGAACGCCGTCGGGTGGCTCCCGTGGTTCGGGTCGCCCGCGCAGTGCACGGGCCCCCTCGCCTTGCCCATCAGCAGCCGGAACATCGCAGCTGAGGAGGCGCATTCTTTTTCTCTCTCTCTCTCTCTCTGTCTCTCTGAGGGGCCGCGGGGGCGCGCTCTCTCTCTCTCTCTCTCGGCCCGCGGGCCCCCTCGCCTTGCCCCCCGCGCGCAGCCGGAGCAACGCAGCTGATGAGGCGTTTTTTTGTTGTTCCCCCCCAACCTCCTTGGTCTCTGCGGTCTCTAGTCCTCCTCCTCCCGCATCTCGCCTCTCGCTTTCCTCTTGTCTCCTCTTGTCATGTGCGTACCTCGTGTGTGTGTGTTTTTGGAGGAAGAAGAGGAGAACGCAGCCACCTGACAATCCAACCACCCAGCGTCAGAGTGAAACGCGCAGAGCTCGAATCAGGCAATGTGATACAATTGCTCCACGGGCGCACGCCTTTTACACGTGCATCGACCCCGTCGCGCAGAGGCCCCCGTTTCAAGCTAAAACCGTGCGTGGGGACGGGATGCAACCAGAGCGAAAAAACACATATGCTAAAACGAGGAGGACACTAGCAAAGAGGAGGAGAAAACCAAAAACGGAAGGAGGGAGGGAAGATCAGCGAGATGCCTAATGCGGCCGCCCTGCGAGAGCGACTGGCACGAGACACGAGCTGTACAAGCACAGCCGGACACGCTGGGAGCAGCAGACACACCGCAGGCTGCACCTGCAGGGCGGGCAGGGCGGGCGAAAGCCGAAGCTCGCCGCGGCCACACTTCCTCCCACACGTATGGGAGCAGCGTACAATGTGCGGAAGAGCTGGGGTGAAGAAGTGATGTAACAAAGAAAGCTCAAAGGCGAAGGCACGCGCCAACGAATAGCGTGAGAACACAACGCCGTGAGACCGACAGTGCACGACCATGGAGGCGGTGACTAACGAAGACAAAATGGCGAACTGAGACTAAAACGTGGCGGCCGCACCAAAACAAGAGGCCTGGTGCGGCAGACGGGAAGCAACGCGCGGCCGGCGCGGACGGGACGGCGCCAGGGCTCTGGCGCGGTAGCCGCCCCCGGTTGCCGAGCGCTTCGCCCCGACACCACTAGGAGGGGCGGAGGAACAGGAGAGAGGGGAGGAGGGAGGAAGAGGGCGAGGAGAGGAAACGTGCAGTTGCTCTCCTGGCAACGGGTGCTCGCCTGAGCCCCACGGCTTGTCTGCAGGGCGAGGGCGGCCCATGAATTTCAAAGTGTAGCTCGAAGCAGGGGTTTCTGCGGTTCACCCCAAACCTCCATGGTGCTTTGCGCAAATTGTTATTTGTTTTATACCTTTTCGGGTTTAGCACCAACCCTGTGGAACGGGAGGAATTATCACTCCCAAGAGAAGGCCTCAAGGAAATGGCCGTAGGCGTCGTACGGCTAGAAATCGGACTGCTCGACGGCTCCGTGGCGCCGTTGTTGCATAGGAGGCCAGTTCACTTGAGCAGAGAGAAGGCGACGCCGGAAAGCAAACCGGACCAGACCACGATAACGGCGAACATGATGAAGTGTGCTGCGAGGGCGTCGCCGAACAGACCTTCTGGCAATCGCCGCCGTCGGTGGTCATGCAACTGAAGCCGCTCCAGCCGTGGAAGTGGCCCTTGTCCGGGCCTCTGCGACGTCAATGCCGAACTGCTGGATGCCGTCCTTGCCAGTGGCTAGCTCCGCCACGAAGATGCCCGTGATCGAGATCATCGCCATGCGGCCGTTGTTGATGTCCTTGTTCCAGATCTCGTCGCACACACGAGGTACGCATGTGCGTACCTCGTGTGTGTGTGTGTGTGTGTGTGCATCCTGGCTGCGGTACCTCTTGTGTGTGCATCTTGCCAAGGGGCTGCGATCTGCGACACTGTCGCCAATTTCGAAGGCTGCTAGTGGGTCCTGCGGAGTGAGGCAACGCGGGGACCTGAGCGAGACCTCGCCGTCCCTGCGGGGCTGCGATCTGCGACGCTGTCGCCACTTTCGAAGGCTGCTCGTGGGTCCAGCGGAGCGAGGCACCGCGGGGATCTGAGCGAGACCTCGCCGTCCCTTGGGGGCTGCGATCTGCGACGCTGTTGCCACTTTCGAGGGCTGCTGTTGGGTCCTGCGGAGAAAGGCACCCTAGGGACCTGAGCGAGACCTCGCCGTCCCTGGGGGGGGGGGGCTGCGATCTGCGACGCTATCGCCACCTTCGAAGGCTGCTGGTGGGTCCAGTGGACTGAGGCACCCTGGGGACCTGAGCGAGACCCCACCGTCCCTGGGGGGGGGGGGGGCCTGCGATCTGCGACACTGTCGCAGGGCTGCTGGTGGGTCCTGCGGGGTGAGGCACTGCGGGGACCTGAGCGAGACCTCGCCGTCCCTGGGGGCTGCGATCTGCGACGCTGTCGCCACTTTCGAGGGCTGCTAGTGGGTCCAGCGGACTGAGGCACCGCGGGGACCTGAACGAGACCTCGCCGTCCCTGGGAGGCTGCGATCTGCGACGCTGTCGCCACTTTCGAGGGCTGCTGCTGGGTCCAGCGGAGTGAGGCACCCTGGGGACCTGAGCGAGACCTCGCCGTCCCTGGGGGGGCTGCGATCTGCGACACTGCCGCCACTTTCAAAGGCTGCTCGTGGGTCCAGCGGAGTGAAGCACCGCGGGGACCTGAGCGAGACCTCGCCGTCCCTGGGGGGGGGGCTGCGATCTGCGATGCTGTCGCCACTTTCGAGGGCTGCTGTTGGGTCCCCTGGGGACCTGAGCGAGACCCCACCGTCCCTGCGGGGGGGCTGCGATCTGCGACACTGTCGCCACTTTCGAAGGCTGCTGGTGGGTCCGGCCGAGTGAGGCACCGCGGGGGCCTGAGCGAGACCTCGCCGCCTCTGGGGGGCTCTGGAGAGTTGCTGTGGGATACGTTAGGCGCAACGGGCGCATGGCACAGCCAACGGGGGTGATTTGTGAAACAGACCATCTGCAAGGCGATGGCCATAAGGTTTCGCCTACACGTATCCGAGGGAGCTCTCAAGAGCTGTTGCGAGATACGTTGGGTGCAGCGGGCGCATGGCACGGCCAACGGGGGTGATTTGCTATTACGTAGCCCTCACATCTTGATCGGGGGGCTGCGAGCCTTCCAACTGCTGCTCGCAAAAATCACATGCGTCCATGTTACGTCATGGCCCCCGCTGTAGCAATCCTGATGTACTTATGCCCCGCATTGCGCAAATGTTGGGTACGTCGCCAACGTAATCTCCCAACCCTCCTTGGTTGGGTATTCGTTTTGAATAAAGCACTGCGGCCTCTGGTCCTCCTCCTCCTCCCGCCTCTCGCCTCTCGCCTCTCGCTTTCCTCTTGTCTCCTCTTGTCGTGTGCGTACATGCGCTGTCGCCACTTTCGAGGGCTGCTGGTGGGTCCAGCGGAGTGAGGCACCGCGGGGACCTGAACGAGACCTCGCCGTCCCTGGGGGGCTGCGATCTGCGACGCTGTCTTCGCTTTCGAGGGCTGCTGGTGGGTCCTGCGGAGTGAGGCATCGCGGGGACCTGAGCGAGACCTCGCCGTCCCTGGGGGGCTGCGATCTGCGACGCTGTCGCCACTTTCGAAGGCTGCTGGTGGGCCCTGCGGAGCGAGGCACCGCGGGGACCTGAGCGAGACCTCGCCGTCCCTGGGGGCTGCGATCTGCGACGCTGTCGCCACTTTCGAGGGCTGCTGTTGGGTCCAGCGGAATGAGGCACCGCGGGGACCTGAACGAGACCTCGTCGTCCTTGGGGGGGAGGCTGCGACCTGCGACGCTGTCGCCACTTTCGAGGGCTGCTGGAAGCACCGCAGGGACCTGAACGAGAACTCGCCGTCCATGGGGGGGGGGCTTGCGATCTGCGATACTGTCGCCACTTTCGAGGGCTGCTGGTGGGTCTAGCGGACTGAGGCACCGCGGGGACTTGAGCGAGACCTCGCCGTCCCTGGGGGGGCTGCGATCTGCGACGCTGTCGCCACTTTCGAGGGCTGGCGTTGGGCCCGGCGGAGTGAGGCTCCGCGGGGGCCCGAGCGAGACCTCACCGTCCCTGGGGGCTTCGATCTGCGACGCTGTCGCTACTATCGATGGCTGCTGGTGGGTCCTGCGGAGCGAGGCACCGCGGGGACCTGAGCGAGACCTCGCCGTCCCTGGGGGGCTGCGATCTGCGACGCTGTTGCCACTTTCGAGGGCTGCTGTTGGGTCCTGCGGAGAAAGGCACCCTAGGGACCTGAGCGAGACCTCGCCGTCCCTGGGGGGGGGGGGGCTGCGATCTGCGACGCTATCGCCACCTTCGAAGGCTGCTGGTGGGTCCGGCGGACTGAGGCACCGCGGGGACCTGAGCGAGACCTCGCCGTCCCCGGGGGGGCTGCGACCTGCGACGCTGTCGCCACTATTGAGGGCTGCTGGTGGGTCCTGCGGAGTGAGGCACCGCGGGGACCTGAACGAGACCTCGCCGTCCCTGGGGGGCTGCGATCTGCGACGCTGTCTCCGCATTCGAGGGCTGCTGGTGGGTCCAGCGGACTGGGGCACCGCGGGGACCTGAGCGAGACCTCGCCGTCCCTGGGGGCTGCAATCTGCGACGCTGTCGCCGCTTTCGAAGGCTGCTGCTGGGTCCAGCGGAGTGAGGCACCGCGGGGGCCCGAGCGAGACCTCGCCGTCTCTGGGGGGGGCTGCGATCTGCCCAGCGGAGCGAGGCACGTCGGGGACCAGAGCGAAACGTCGCCGTCCCTGGGGGGCCCTGGAGAGCTGCTGCGGGATGCGTTAGGCGCAGCGGGCGCATTGCGCAGCCAACGGGGGTTACTCGTGAAGCAGACCATCTGCCGGGCGATGGACAGAACGTTCCCGCGGGGGGTCTCAAGAGCTGCTGCGGGATGCGTTGCGTGCAACGGGCGCATGGCACAGCCAACGGGGGTGATTTGTATTTTCGTAGCCCATATATCTTGATCGGGGGGCTGCGAGCCTTCCGACTGCTGCTCGCAAAATCACATACGTCCATGTTACGTCATGGCCCCCGTTGTAGCGATCCTGATGTACTTCTGCCCCGCATCATTGCGCAAGGGTTGGGTACGTCGCCAGGGTATTTTGTTGTTCTGATGTTTATGTTTCTTATCTCTCTCTCTCTCTCTCTCTTTCTTTCTGTCCGCGGGCCGCGGCGACCCGCCGCCTCCGTTCCCGTGCTCCGCACCCCCTCCCGTTGGCATGAAGCAGACGGTTCCTGAAGGAAACGGGTCATTCGAGACCTCCTGGATGGGGTCCGAATTGATGGGGTCGGAAGATCGCGCCGCGTCGCCGATGCATCGGCGACTCATGCACCGGCGATGCATCGTCGACGTCGGCGATGCATCGGCGACGTCAACGCGAATCAAATCGGGCCCCACATCGAATTGCATCGGCGATACATCGGCGACGTGGCGCTAATCTCCGACCCCATCTACTCGGGCCCCATCCAGGAGGCCCAGAGTCCTCAACGGCTAGGCGCCGTTCGGTAGCGCTATCGTCCTTGGCGGACTCGAGCGGAACCCAGAAATAAGTTGCGCCCCCTGTCGGGAGCCAGGGGGGGGGGGGTCAGATACGCATCCCCGCCCGGGGGCCCTGGGGCCTCAGAAATTACCAAGACAGACCAAGAGTGCCCCAAGAGGTCCCCGAAACGGTCCAAGAGGGCCCCCACTCGTCAAACGATCAGGCCAAAACGCCTTCACGCCCTCCAGACTGTCCAGGAAGCCCCCATGACGCCCCAAGACGCCTGCAAGAGCACTCTGAAGAAAAGGCCCCAAGAGTCCACTGTCAAAAATCAAAGGCAACAGCGTGGAATGGGGACTCCCCGCTGCAATGCCCTGGCGGGGAAACGCGGGGAATGCCCAGAAATCGCGAGCAGGACATCCACCTCCACTCCCAAATCTTCCTACACATTCCCCTCCTCCAACTCCCCCCCATCCCCCCTCGTCGTCTTTCTCATCGTCGGCCATGTCCTCCATCTCACCAACGCCCTGATCGATTGCGCGCGCCCGTCTCTCATTGCTCGATTCTTTGGTGGGCCTCGCTCCCCCGTCTCCGGGCACGTGCATTTGGGTCATGGGTTCGCGGTGCTGTCGGATTGCTGGCCCGTCTTGAAGCCCCGAGTTATCGATCAATGAGCCCCGCGACTATGTCTTGTCTGGTGCTGTCAGGCCGCACGATTCATATGGGCCGCCGCTGACCTTTCCTGAATATTCGAATCGGTTTGTCCTCTCAGCCGCGCACAGCCCTTGCGCGGCATTCTGGGCCACGCGGCCCACGCATGCCACATGCCATCTCCCCCAACCATGGCGTTTCAGCCGTGACGCCAATGCGTCGGACTCATAGCCGTGCACTCCGCAATCTTTGCGGCAATCCCTCGGGCCACTAACGGCCCGGCGCCCAATCGAATTTTTGCTCGGCACCGCCATGGGCAATATCGCCCTTGCATCAATGTCCATTCCATATGCGTTGGGACCTGGTTGCCAAAACATATGCTGGGTCCCATCTCGCCCCCCCCCCATGCCTGAACTCGTGGGACGTTATAAACCCCGCCCCGAGCGCCGATGATGACCGCCTGGCTTGCTTCGCGCACTCGCAAGAACATGCCGCTCCCCCATCTTTCCCCGATGTCGCTGGTCTCACTTTCAGGGGGGGGTCCGCGGGCACGTGGCGCGCTCCCCGAATTCGGGCAAAACTGCGCTGAGTTCGCGCGCCCGGCACCACATGGTCCGAAATGGTGGATGAGGCAAGATGCGCAAGCAGCCAACCGGCGCTCTTTGACGCTCGGGTTGAACTGGTTGTTGAGCG